ATTTGAAATTCGAATTTCAGGCACCATGACCATCCCCTTCCAAATTGCACCTGAAAATTTAAACAGCTTGCAAGCACATAATATCAAATATTATATAAATATTTTCTCACATATATTTTGATAATTTAACAATTAAAATATCAAAACAAGAATCAAAATTCAAAAAAATTCCAATTTTCTCCCAATGGTCGAATTTTGCATCTTTATGCATAATTCAAATATTTGTCAAATCTTTCTCAAAGATCACAAAAATTAAACCATTTATTCAACCATAACTCATATGGCCGAACCATACATCATCATATGCAAAAATTTTATTAAATAAAATCATGGAGAAAATAATGCATTTGAATATTCACATCATGGCAGAATCATATTCCTTTTTCAAAAAAATGTTTCTTTTGAAAACTTTCACAAAGAATCAAAACAAACAAAACCATGAGGTCATGTAAATATATGAACACCATAATCATATTAAACATGTTCATAAAAAAATCCACATGCAAAGAATTAATCTTTAACAAAAAGACCTTTTGACCGTGAGAAAATTAATTTCACAAACAAAGTACCATCACCCGCCGATGGTAAAGCGACCGGGCTCTGATACCACTTGAAAGTAAAATGGCCTTGAAGGCCGTAGCATGTGAGAGGGAAAAACAAAATTTTTCATATGCGGAATTACACATGCAATCAAGAATCATGTTTTATGGCATGTGATGTTACCTTTGTTTGTGAGTTCAAAACTCCAAGACGATCAGTGTTAGGTTTCAAGAGTTCAAACCCTCTAACATTGATCCACACCACCCACGTCAAGATGCAAGAACGCTTTCTTGAAAGACACCAATTGACCACCACAGAGAGGCTTGCTATGCGCTCAATAGGTGAAGAAGGAGGCTAGGTATATGTGTTTAGAAGAGTGAAGTCTCCAGTATGAAAACTTCACAAGAGTGGGAATGGTATATAGAAGAATTGGCTAGGTTGTTTTGAAAAACCTTAAGGAGGAACTCACCAACTAGGCGCACAAGAGAGGAAGAGATTTAGTGTATCAAATCAGAATTTGTACTTTACTTATAATAAAAGTGGCGCACAAGTGAGTGAGACAAAGGTGGAGTTGTTGCAATTCAAAAATCCCAACAATCTCCCCTTTGAATCCTCATAAGACAAGGTCTTTATCTAGTCAAAATTCTGAACCAATGGTCATCATATGACCACCAATTCATGCGCCCCTATTCAGCCCAAAAAGGGTCCAGATACATTTGAGCTGTTGCATTCAAGTTTGAACCAACTAGTTTACTGATTCTCTCAACAACCAAATCTGATTGGAGCTTGTTGGTTTGACAAGATAACAATCATCTCCCACCAAAATGGCGCCCCAAATCAGCCCTTGGAGATCTACATAGATCTTCTCTTAATACAAGGGATTTGTTCCAACAAGATCTCATCTTATCCTTTTGTTATGAAACAACTTTTCATAGCCAATTCAAATTCGAATTCAAACATTTAAATTCAAACGTTCAAACATTTAAATTCTAAATTCAAATTCAAATTCAAATTTCAAAATTCAAATTCAAAATTCAAAATTCAAATTTCCAATTCAAAATTCAAATTTCAAAATTCAAATTCAAAAATTCAAATTTCAAATTCAAAATTCAAAATTTAAATATTTGATAATTAATTTAACTAATTAAATTAATTAGTAATGTCTTGGACCATCCAAACCCATTAACAATACCATGCGCCCTCTCCCTCTTAGGCGGGCTTCCAAACTTCATCTTGGGCTAACAACCATTAGTAGGCCCAATACCTTTTAATGCTATATCATCATGACATTAAGGTGTTAGTGTGTGACCCATTAGGTCCAACATAGCCACTGACATAAATGAGCTCGGGCCCAACAAGCCCACAACCCATTTAATGACAACACAGAGCACTAGCAATGCTTTGTTGCCCCAGAGCTAGTTAGATTAATGACTTGATCATCCTATTACACAAATTTGGTTGCCGTATGTGTTTCTTTTCGTCTCGGTTACCTTCCCATAAAACCTAGCGTAAGGAAACGTATCAACCCTTGCGGTTTAGGGTAAGCTTTATTCGAAATAGGGAATCTTCAATTTACTGACTCTAAAAGCAGATCATCTCATGATCTCTTTTACTATGCATAGATTCCCGAGTCCCTGTAAATGTCATCCCGATTTCTCCGGTTTACAGATAACCTAATCTCTCACACAGATTTGACGAATTCCTTCAGCTTATCACCCTAGCCCTGTGCTCTTTCAGGACAAGCCCAACAGTATACCTATGAGTCTCCGTGTTTCAGGCAGACGAGGTATACAGTAGGTAATAACTTCTGGTCTAAGGAAAGACATACCCAAATATAAAGAGACTACTCTAATGATACTCTCTGTAAGATTTTCTCATAGAGTCTCTTTTGTGGGTCTGTTCAGTGCGAGCTATACCCTTATAGATCCACCCATGACTTTAGCTAAGACATCTCCATATCTGTAGCTCATGAGGTCTTTACCTTGCATTCGAATACAAGTAGATAAGTCGTGCTAGTCTTACCCGAGATCACTGATCCCCATTCTCAGTGTCTCTAGACTAGGAACATAAAATTAGGAATAAATATCCAGTATCCTTGAATCCTCATGATCGTGATCTCATCACAGATACTCAAGAGATACCTATTTTATTCCAAGGGGTTTATCCAGTTACTCATATAAAATATTAACAGTAATATTGAGACAAAATATGAAACCGGATAAATAGTGCTTTTATTTATTTGCGACAATACAAAGGTCCACATATGTCATAATCTAATTAAAAGATTGTCTCTAGGACATTCATATACTAACACAAACACAACCCTGGTACAGACGTGTTCAGATTTGTCAGAAACACGCATGTGTCAGGTGCGCGACTAAACGCGTAACCACCTGAAACGCGTCTTCCTGCATTAGTCTAGTAAAACATTTGATCAATAAACTAAACAGGTGAATTTTTTTTAATTTGCATTTTTTTGGTCAAAAACCCTCTTATCGAGGAGCATATATGTAGTGGATCGGGACCAATGCACCCCCTCAGAGAGAGAGAGAGGAAAAAGGAAGAGAGAGAGCAAGATTAGGCTTGGCAAAAATGAGCCAACCCGAGCCGGTTAAAATGAGTCAGGTTGGGTTAGGGAAAATGAGTTAGTAACTCGAGTCAGCTCGAAAAAAATTGAGCCAACCCACGGGTCAAACGAATTGGCTCGCGGGTTATGGTTTTTTTTAATATAAAAGTATAAAAATTAATGAAGGTAAAGTGAAAAGATAAAACCTAAAATCCTAATTCCAAATACCAAAACAAAAATACCCTGCGGCTGACAATAAGTCCAAAACCGTGCATTAAGGACATTTTTATAGTATGTGTGACAGTGTGAATGTGGTGTCAACTGCCAATAAGTCCAAGTCCAAATGCAATTTTTTTTATTGTTTATATTAGTATAATATCTTTGTATTGAATGAATCAATAATTTAGGGAAAAAATTTAGAAGTTATAGCATCAGTAGAATTTTATTTTATTTTTTATTTTTTCGAGTCAACCCGCGAGCCAACCCTAACCCGACTCAGGTTGAGTTGGGTTGAGTTTTCTGTTTAGTTTATTTTTCGAGCCAACCCTAACCTAGCTCATTTTTTTCGAATTGAATGCGGGTTGGGTCGAGTTGAGTCAGGTTGGTCCATTTTGCCAATGCTAAGCAGGACCATAAAATTATTTTTCCTTATCGAGATTAAATGTTATTGAAATTGAGAAGGGTAAAATTTTACCTCATTCGTGTCTTAACCACGTTGCATTTTTTTTTTTTTTTTTGAAATTCATCAAAGCTCCTTTCTTTCTAACCTAACCTAATGCATCATTTCTCTGTGAATCCCTTTATGAATTGCATCATTTCTAACCTACCTCTTCCCCCTCACCCTTATATATGTTGCAAGCAACGACATTATAAACGAACTAAATCATCCTTATTGAGCATTTAGCACTTTAAATTAAAATTATTATTTGCGTATCAAACATCCTTTAATTTTTAAGAGGTAAGAAATTTTGCTTCATAAAGAGCTTCTTCCACAAATTTTAATTGCATACTAAAAACTAACCATAGTTGATAATTTTATGAGGTTAAATTTGATTAACTATATGTAATCTAAGGTTTGTTACATTATTATTAAATATTGTGTTACTAGTTACATTGTTTGAAAAGTTGAAATTTTTATATTGTAATTTTCAATGAACAATATATTCATATTAGTTTCCTATAGAAATGCTAGATAGGACATTTATGCCATAATTTTTATAGAATGTGTTAATTTTAAATGTGAATATTTGTATTCAGTATAGGATTATTTTACATTTACATTTTTACTCTTGACTTACTTATACCTAACAATTTTAATTTATTAATTAAAATAGTAGTTTGATATTAATAGATTAACGATTAAGATTATATATAAAATTTCTTATTCTTATCTGAACATTATTAATTTTGTTTTTCTTATTCTAACATTTTATTTCCCAATAAGTTCATAATTACTTAACTAGTGAGATACTTATATGGAAGGCATTTAAATTTTTTCTAAAAAGCAACTTTATCTCAGTTTCAAATTAAATGAAAATTACATTTTTTGAAATTTAAGGGATAATAACTGAACAATAAACGCTTTTACCATCTAAACATTCTTGAAAACTGTGCAGAGACATACGTACAGACAGAGAAAGTCCAAAGCAAAATAAAAAAAAAAAATCCGGAATCTAGGGCCACATTGAACTACAGTTCACAGAAAATTTCGAATCCGAAACTAGACTCTCAGCTCAGCGTAATCAAAAAGCAAACCTAAAAACCATAGTCACCAACGCAAAAAAAAAATAAAAAAAACAAATTTGCAAAAAATAAGTAAAATAAAAAAATCACATAAAAAGAGAAAACAATTAATTTCCAATGTCCTTCAAATTTATTTAACTTTTGCTTATGTAATAAGTTTCGTCTTTCACGATTCCTCATCAACAGAAGAGAAAACACAAGTTTTTCAACTCGTTGGAATCGTTCATTTTCAGTGAGGTTTTACTGCTTCAGCTACTGAGTCGAATCGCTCTTTCCTCTATGGTGAGCCCAATTTTAAATTTTTCTCATTTGGGTTGCCTTTAATTCAGTTTCTCATCAACCCCAAAAAATGCATTTCTTTTCTTTGAGGAGTTTTTTTGTAGTATTTTGTAAATTGGGGTTACAATTTTGTGCTGTGTGTGTGTGTGGAGCAAGTGTGTATGTTATCTTGGGGGGTCAATTGTTGCTTTATGATTCTGGGGTATGATTCTTTTTTCGGGAAGTTTTAATTTTTGAAGTGCTAAGATGTTCACTCTGCCAATTTTTATTCTTTGTTGTTTGTGCTGCTTGTGTTGAAATAGTGTATTTTTGTATGTTAACTTTTTTGCTGTTGTTGTTGTTTTTTCGGTTTTAACAGTTTGTGTACTTGAGGTGCATGTGGTTGATATTCCATGGAAACAGTGATTGCAATTGAGGATAATGATGATGGGAAGCTTGAGGACAGTGGGGTTGATAGAAGCAGTTCTGCTTTATCTTCACCGAAGCAGATTGCCAATCCTGTTGTATACAAGCTCGTTCGGGTATATATCTAGTTACTAACTGTTTCAGTATGTCAATGTAATTTGGATTTTTGCTATTTTTTGTTTTTAGTGTGCTCCAGGTATGGGGAAAATTTGCTACTTCTTAGTTTGATGGCAACTGTCCAATACTTCTTGGCAATATCAATACGAAGGAAGTTGCTGTGGAACCCTTGTGTTTGTTTCCAATTCAGTATACCAATAGCCTTTTATGAGTTGTTAAACATTTATAAGGTTATTTTTTGTCAGCCTTGTAATACACCTGCGCATTAGACTAAAGCCCTAAACAGTGTCCTTGAAGTGTTCTATGATTTTTTCGATGACAAAATGTGCATAGCATCCGTAATCTAATAATTAAGAAGTCCAAATAAATAATCCTCATAAAATCATTCACACATTTTAATCAGCATGATAGCTTGCTATTCTAGCTGCATCACTTTTTTGTGTGCCTATTATTTATAATTGCATTTAATACCTTGATACCATTTTTTTTTCCAGAAGTGGCCTGCGATCTCTACTACAAATTAACAAAATACCTTACGGTTTCCCATCTTCCTTTTTTAGTCTAGTTATTCTGTAAAATTACTTTCTTTAATCACTGTTGTCTAATTATGTAAATTGAACTGAGCTCCTTTGTGATTTGGCTAAATTATTCTTACCTTCCCTAATTTTCTTAATGACCAAAATGAAATGTTGAAAATTTGAAAATGGAATGTGACAATGTGTTAGATTTAGTTTAATTAAATTAAAGAGAAAGGGAAGTCTAATAGAAAGTATTCTACATTTTTGTTCTATGATTCATACTTCTGTCTAGGCTTTATTCATAATTTTATGAGCTGTCTGATATGATCTTTAGGTTGAAGGTGATGGGAGGTTAGTGCCTGCAACAGATGATGAAGTAATGGAGGTGGAGGATTTTCTTGAGTATGAAAACAGTGAAATGCGTGTTGTTGCAGACACAGGGCAGAGTTTGGAATGCATATCGATTGAAAGATCATCTTCTGGGAAGCTTCGATTGGAATGCTCAGAAGGTTTATGCTCAATCTTTCAGTTGTATAAATTGCTACTCAACATTTTGAACAGCATGCCAAAGCATTTGCAGTAGTGGTTACGTCAGACTATATCCGGGGATTTCTTAGATGGTTGTTACTACAGTTTTACATCTGCCAAACTAGGGATTTGAGTGTTGTTTATGTCTTCTTTTAATTGTTTTAAGACTAAAATTTGTGTGTTGGTGTCTTTAGTTTTAATTTTATTTTGGTTATGAACAGCCTCCCTTTCTACCCATGGTTAGTTTGGGGTCAATGTTTTCTGTGTGTAAAGCTGTTGAAGGCTTGAAGCTTTGTTTCTCTCATACATCAATTAAGTTTTTTGTCGATGAATGCATTCTTGTTATTCTTTCCCAAAATTATTAGCATGTTTGCGACTTCAAAGGGTATAATACTTATTATCTATTTGAAAAAGTTGATGGGCTCTTGACATTCTCATTAGTTATATGGTCTTGACTGTTCTTAAAGTTTAGGCTATTACCATCTTGGCTAACTTACTCATTTCCCTTACTAATATCTTTTTTCATATTTTCTTTCAACTAATACCGCGGTGTTTCACAATTAGGCACTGCGGATGCAGATTTGGGGAAACTAAATGCAAAATTTCAGGTAATTGGCTCTCTTTTGTTTTTTTCCTCCTTCCTTCCTTCTCTCTAACGTTTAGATTCCTTTTCATTATTTGTTCAGCATTATAAAATTCTTTAAAAGTATGAACTATGCTTTAACCCGCAATTCTGTTTGAACACTTGGAAGAAGTTGGTGTATGTAAATGGTTTCTTCTATTAGAGCATACTTGATAAAGGAGTGACCTGTATAATATTCCTTTTGGTTAAATTGTGAAATGTATAGAAAGTGGCGAACCATATTTAATAACTTAATTGAGTTTTAAACATTTATGTAGTAATCACGGCAAGTTTCTGCGTGGTATAATTGCATTCTTTCTTTCTGTAGAGTAGATGCAGGTCTGAGAAGTATTGGTCACTTCTCAGAAATACTATTATATTCTTGCAGTTAAGGCACATGCATTCTGATTCGGAAAAGATGAGTTCCTGGATGCACTTTCCCATTTGTGAATCATGCAATGCCAATGTGTACTTACCCTTGGTTGTAATTTTTCTCATTATTCTGTAATTAAATTTCTTCTTTGCTCAGAAAAGAAAATGATGGTAAGTTTACATTGTATGAGTAATGTAGTAAGAGATAACAAATTCTATATATGTTATTGACCTACTAAGGTTTATTGAATATAGAATTGTAGCATTAAATAATTGGTGAATGGTGATGCCTTGGTTTGGAAGAACTATAGCAAATAATTGTGCTTGGATTTACGTTTGTATATTGCAACCTTTTCACCTTAGACACAATAAGAAAGTTTAAAAAGGTACCATGGATCATAGATTTTTTCCTCATCATGAGCATGCATTTATGTGCTTGTTTGGATTTAAACTTTTGTATGAGTCTTTAACCTTGGATTTTTAATCCTTTACATTATTCTATGTAGTTTTATTAGGAAATGGTTAATTATGTCGTAATTTCTTATTGTATGTTGTGGGTTTTCTTTTTATTGGGTTATGGGCACATAGATTCTGGCTTTTTGGCTGCGTGTCTGCATATCCTGGTATTTATAGTATTTTGTTTCCTAGGGTCCTTCTTGACCTCTAAAATTTCTTGTAGTACATTGAGCAGATGTTGCAAAAGGTCAAACACGAAGAGAAACTTCGCTTAACGTGTGGATCTCCTATTCATTCTCCTGTAAATATAGACAGCCACTGTTCTGCTGATAAATTTCCTGTCATGGATGAGAAGGTTCAATCTGAAACTCCCCACCAGGAAATACCTTCTATAGCATCAAGTTTAAATTATACTCATAGTAATCAATCTGGGAGTATTGATCAGTGTTCCAGACCTTCAGATGGAGTGATAGAAAGTGGATCATCTGCTTCTGCTGTCTACTCGACTTTGATGCCTGATTTTTCAATGTTAGAAGGAGAAATATGCTTGGACAAGCTATCAATCAGAGAACTTCATGAATTGTTTAAGGTGACTTTTGGTCGGGAAACTACTGTGAAAGACAAGCAGTGGCTGAAAAGGAGGATTGCCATAAGTTTAACTAACTCATGTGATGTTTCAGCAACAACTTTCATTGTTAAAGATAACAAAATAGTTAGAAAATGTGAAGAAGACAGTTCTGGAAATGTGAATGCTGCACCTGTAATCTCTATTGAAAATATGGCTGAAGATGATGTCAACTATAAGGATTCATCTGTAGTGGAGGGTTGTGGAATTGAGGACAACCAAGTTGTTTCTGAAACAAGACTGAGAAATCATAACATGGAACATGAATTGGGAGGTGAGGATCATCAAGCAGAACAAAGAGCTGCAAAAAGAATACGGAAGCCCACAAAGAGATATATTGAAGAACTCTCTGAAAGTGAATCTAGAGAGCACAACCCTAGGTTGTTAAGTTCTAATAGAAATATGGAACCTGGACATGTTTCTCCAACTTCATGCATCAGGCCTGCTAGGAATGCTTTTTCAGAGGTGAGAACATTTATCACCAGGTTAGATTCTCTTGGAGGTTCTAGTGTCCAAATTCCTTGTGTTTCTCGGATTCGAAGAAGTCGTCCAAGGAAAAATATCATGTCTCTTAAGGTAAGTGATACTGTTTCATACTTTAATATGTCAAAGCAACATTTAGTTTTAGCTTTACCCTCTGAGTGAAGCATGATTCTTCTAATCTTCTTGTTCATACATTCTGTTTCTTCTCACAGTCCCTATTGCTGCTTGATGCCAAATGTTGAAATTATAGGGATTTAGATAGAGAATGAAGAAAAGAGAGTACAAATTCTCATTAATAAAATATAATATTGATATAGTGTGTGTAATGATGTGTTACAAAATACAAAGCAGTAACCAATATTTGTACTATTACTGGACTCCCAGTCTTAATCAAAGAAGGAAACAAATAATGAAATATGGAAATTATTCCTAAAGATCATCTAAAATATTCTAAGGTACAGTAATGGTAATATGAGATATTTTCTAGATATTTTAACATGAGAAAATCATGTTCTTTTAAAAGATAAATTCAGTAACTCAATATTCAAGTTAGTGCTTCTGTTTATATTTTTGTTGAGTCAGATACATAATGCTTTTAACCTATTTCTCCGATTATTATTTTAATGCCAAAGCAATTACTCCTATTAATGTCGTCTTGGGGCCTTGTTGTGTATGAAAGCATGCCTATGAAATGTATCTTTTTTGGTGTGTCTTTCCAGTGGTGCTTTTTACTCCTGTTGTGTCTTTCCAAGAGAGTCTCTTGATTGTTTTGGAAATTATTTTGTTATATGATAGTTCTGTTAAATATTTTAATTTTCTTTCAACTGAAAACATTATGTTTTTGTTTCAGAAATTCCATCCAACTGGCATGGGTGAAACTGAGAAATTCGGTAATAAGGTCCTTGGAGAGCATGGTTCTGATGATGGGAGTGAGAGTCCAGACAAAGTCTTGAAGCCAAGATCCACGCCTGGAAAGTTTTATCGGCCAGTAAGACCTACTAAGCCTCTTTTCATGGTAGAAAGTGTAGGCTCTTTATTTTTGTTTTTGGGATAAAGGAAAAAATTCATTAAAAGAAGATTAATATTATTAGAAAAGAGATAAAGTAGAGCTATAGGACTATAGGAGGGTTAGGAAGTGTTGTTATAGTGTTTGATAACTCTCAACCTGCCACCGGAATTGAGAAATTATAGTGCCTGAAGAAATCACATAATCTGTTGGATATGGTTGACTTTTGTTTTTATTTTTGTAAAATGTAGTTGGCTTCTAATCTATATTGCTTAAGTTGCTTCTTTATATTTCCTTTATTGAATGCTGAAACTCAACTTGGTGGCAAATGAAATTGATATTGCAGTGGGTTTGTACTTTATACCAATTTTCTTTGAAGATATTTATCAATTTTTGGGACAGTTATAATTTCGGAGTTCTGGCAAAAATATTTTCATTTGTGGAACAATAAGTCAGATAACTGGAGTCAATTTTGCGTCCTACTTTATTACCTTGTATGGTTGCAGCTTTCTTGTGGAACAATTTGTCTGAGGGTTTTTTTATGTGCCCTGGGTGTGACCTACTTTCGAGCAGATTCTGATGGTTAATTGTTGGGGCTTGGGGGTATAAGCAAGGAGGCAAAAATTTTCTGGCATTGTGCAAGTTATGTAGTCCATCTGTATGTTTGATTGCAGCACTATGCTCGCTTCTTTAAGGGTGTCAAATCTGCTCCAGTTGGTCTTAATTTAGTGTTCTTCTCTTGGCTCTTTCAAGGGAGTTGCCATTGTAGTTCGTAGATATGTATAGATATTAGACAACATTGCTGCTATGTGTGCTTACCTTTATTTTTTTTATATTCTCTTTGGTTGTATTTGGAATCTTTTGAATTGGATTTCATTTAATTTGAATTGAGTTGATTTTATTTTATTTAGAAATTAATTGTCATGTTTGGAACCTAATAGAAAAAAATAGGATTTGAATTCATTTGTTAATCATTTTTTATGTTTGGAATGCTTCAAAAATGGAGTTATTTTTGTTTTAATCGTTGGTCTTACTTTCCTTCTTTTCTCTCTAATAATTTTTCTTCATCTATCCAAATAAATATGGAAATAAATGATTCTCATTAATGGTTTGTAAACTGAGTATATCATCTGGAAGGTGTAGGGCTGGTGCTGTTTAAAGCTAGATCGAATAACCTTTATGTTGTTTCATTATTGCACCATCCCTCCCACATCCCAGTTGCGGCTCTTACTCCTTTTGGCGATCACATGTTGATTGATAATTTTCTCAGGTCTAGGCAATGGTTCATTTTGTTCTATAGTGTATGGCTGGCACCAATTTCACCTGTAGCCCGTTATTTTAGAAAACTGCTATACCTTTAATAGCTGAATGTTATGATGGTTCTCAGCTTTTTTGTTCTTGTTTCCAATATAGTTTTCTCCTCTTCATGTTAACCTAGTCTAGTACTTGCTGGGGCTTCTTTCATATGAGGAAATTTAGTGACATGACTAGTAATGGAAGTATTAGCTTAATTAACTAGATAATTGTGCAAGTTTTTATATGTTATCCCTTACTTCAGTACTTTTCACGGTTCTAACTTGAGAAAGAGATAACTGAGTACTTTGACATGATATTGATTTCTTATTTTATTCAAAAATAACATGATATGATTATTCTTTTCTTTTTTTTTTGTCTCTTTTTGTTGTTGGGTGTTCTTCATAGTCTTCTTCTGAACCTGGAAAAGAGAAGCAGTGTCAGGTAAAAGGCACGATCGAGCAACGTCAGGAATTGAGGCCAAAAAAGGCAGATCCATCTAATCATACTTCAGGTGAACATATAGTTAAAGTTCCCACTGCTAAAGGTGGAATGAGGAGGAAACATCATCGAGCATGGACTCTTGTTGAGGTAATGAAATTAGTTGAAGGCGTGTCACGGTGTGGAGCAGGGCGGTGGTCTGAGATCAAACGACTCTCCTTTTCATCATACTCATATCGTACCTCTGTTGATCTTAAGGTACTCATTTTGAGTTCTGGCGATAAAGCCATGTCATGTGGACTTTTGATCATATTAAAGCTGGTTGAGTATGTTTAACAAGGCCAGATTTTGGTCTTTGTTTCCGCACACAATCACATTGAAGGCATATTTTGCTTTGCAGGACAAGTGGAGGAATTTGCTTAAAGCTAGCTTTGCACAGACACCTGCAGATGAGGGGGTAAGAGTTTATGACACTAATTTTAATTGATCTTGTAGAGGTAGGTTAAGTTAGGTTTTCTACAATCTCGTGTCTTCTGCCACTGCATATCCTGGGAACTGTGTCAACAGACAACATGCATGCTTGAGACTTCAGATGCCATTAGTGTTTTATCCCTTATGCAATTTATTTATATTTTTCCAAATTTCTGAACCTTCCTATTAAGCTATTATTGTAACCATGTTATGTTATCTCTGTATAATGCTTTTAAGTTTGAATGCTTTTGTGGATTGCAAATTGAACCAGTTCCTATTTATTAACTTATCCTGAATTTGTCCTCAAGGTACTTCTAAAAGTGGGAATTATTACAAGTGTTAAATTATAAATTTGAGAAGATATAAATTCAGCTTCCATAGAGTATATTAACTTGAATTTTTTTTTTTGGGGTATCATAGATAAATTCGCGGAAGCATGGTACAGCTCCCATTCCTGAGGCAATTTTAGTACGTGTAAGAGAGCTTGCAGAGATGAATTCTCAGGTACCTCCAAATTTCAGCTCAAGCAAGTTAACTGCTGGTGCAGGAAGTGTGCATGAAGATAGATCAGGGTACTTGTAGTAATGTAAATATTACGAAATTACTTATCAAGCTATAAACATAAAACAAAAAACGAAAAAAAAACTAACTTCTGCACTTAAATCAATCCTTTGTTGGATGAATAGAGTAGATGCAATCTTGTAGGCAATTGGGAGATTGATCGAGTGTTTAATGCACTGATTAGTTTAATAGATTCATGTCAGTTCTTCATTATGGCTGTTTTTGATCGTTGTAAATTTTGTCTTATATTAATGTACTCTTATGTAAGTTAGAATCATATACTTTACTAGTAGTCTTGGGTTTTTTTTTTTATATATATATACTACTTACTCTAATGCTCCATGGAGCTCATGGAATTGTTTACAATGAACAACAAATAATTGTTTTACGGCAAAACACAATTTAACCAATGACAACAGCTTGTTCTTTTAAAGATATAATTTTGTGTTTTTTTATATCTTAAGCGTTGATTTCTGTCAATTAATATTTATAATTTATTGGGACAAATATTTTTCCCGTGACAAAAATACACGCGGTATATGTGAAGATTTATATTATACAGTATATTTGACAGTGAAGAATTTGAAGAAGTAAGTTAACTCATTTCATTAAAAGTTGTTGCATTTTATTTTCGTCAAAAAAAAAAAAAAATTAGGAATCTCTACTAATTACGTACAATGAAAAATTGGAAGCAAATCTTGGAAAAATCATCTGAACTTTTTGTTTTTTTTTTAGATAATTGAATCATCTGAACTTTAGAGAAGAGGAATGACAAAAGCTTAGGATTTTAATCGAAGCTTACTAATGTTCCTTATACCGTTTATTAATGCGTACCCCGGGGATTATGTTGAGATGGAGATATGTTATTTATTTATTTATTTTTGTCATCGGAAATTTTTATTTTTAGAGTGAGATTAATTTACTTACCTTTGTATATATAACATTTATATCATTACATAAGTCAACTTTGTGATACTTAACATTACACATTTATTTTATTTTATTTTTATAATAGAGTTGATTCCTACTTCAGCTGTTTAATCAATTTACTTTTGAAGTGTTAATATTTTCTTTACATGGCAATATAATTTATAAATGTTATAAAGTTTAAATTTAAGTAATTCAAAGTACAAACACATAACATAAGAGGTCCGAATGAGAAATAAATCCAGAGGAGGAAAGGGATTGAAGCTTTAAGAATTATGTCATTTGGATTAGATATCACAGCAAAAGAAATGAAAATATTCGGAAATTTGGCCCAGAATATTCTGGATTTTCTGTATTGATAATAAAAACTGACTACATCTATGGAAAAGAGAAATTACTTATCTAACTATTAGATTAAGAAGAAGAAATGCAGAATAGATAACAGCTACAAATTGCATAAAGGAAGAAGACATTGAGTAACCACAATTTCACAAATGCAACACTTTCGAAAGATGTGCTCTTTCCCAGGCCCAAGCCCAAATCCAGTCTGCCCCACCTCTCACGTCACACGCTCCTTATAATCACTTAATCAACCAATGCAGCCATGTCAGCACTTACAGCATGTGACTCCCCTTATCGGAAATATCTAATATACGGCTGTTGTACCATTTGTTTGGTGCTACCAGTCAATAGAAATTTATAAATGATTGTGATATTTGTACACATAAGAGAGAGAAATATTTTTTTTATCCAAATATCAGTTGTTCAATGAAAGAGATACCTACTACACTTATATGAAAGATGTTCTCCTTGTTACCCTCTAACTGAATTCCTTCCATCTAATGTATTTCCTGCCACCTCAGCTGATCCTTTTGAGCTGATCTTCTTGATGCCTTCTAGTATACACCCTGAGATGTGTCTTTTATATATATATATATATATATGTGTCTTTTATATATATATATATATATATATAGGAAAAGTGTTTGTCCTTTTAAATGACATAACTTATATTCTTTCACTCTCACAAAAAGGTGGAATCCACACCTTTATTTTTTTTTGTCAACTCTCTCTCTTCCTTTATCTATCTCATTCTCTCTCTTAAAATGACAAATTTTACATCCTTTTAAATGATACACATTTTTTCCTATATATATATATATATATATATATATATGGTTTCTTTTTTATCGTCAATGTAGATAAGTTACCTATATTGAGCCTAAAACGATGTCGTTCTCGAACGAAAATCAAAGTATTTTTGTAATTATAATTTATTTAGGGTTATAATAGTCTTTCATATTATAATTTTTTTAATTTTTCAACTCAAAACAACGTCGTTTTGGAAATGAATGTAGATAAATTATCTACATTTTCTGTAGAAACATTAAAGCTCTATACATATATATATATAGGGGCAGGATCCATTGACACCGGTGTCAAACTTTAAAATTTGACACAAAATCTTAACCGTTGATTTATGTCAATCAACGGTTATCATTTATTGGGAATTACACTTATTAATTAATCATTAATTGCCAATAAATGATAACCGTTGATTGACGAAAATCAACGGTTAGGATTTGATGTCAAATTTTAAAGTTTGACACCGATGTCAAAGGATCCTATCATATATATATATATATATATATATATATATATATATATATATATATATATATATATATATATTGGACCACGACACGACCAAAAATTGTTAAAATGAATTATGTAAAATATATGGTTGTATTATTGTATACTAAATTAGAACATATTTATTTAAAGGGGAAACTGTGTGTCATTTAAAAGGATATAAAATTGTATCATTTTAAGAGAGAGAAAGAGATAGACAGAGGAGGAGAGAGAGTTGACAAAGAAATAAATGTGTGGATCTCGCCTCTTTTGTGAGAGTGAAAGAATATAAATTGTGTCATTTAAAATAATAAACATTTTTCCCTTATTTAAAAGTAAATTAATCTGATGTTGTAATGCAATTCTCTTCAAAAAGGTAAGATGACTGATTCTTGAATCTTAATGCCTTTTTGGATCCTGTTTTTTAAGCTAGAAACTACTTATAAGTAGAAGCTAGGACAAACAAGTTTTGAGAAAAACTCTTATAATAAAAATTCCTTTTTTATAATAAAAAAAAGTTAAAAATCAAATGCTTCTAGGAGGAGCTTTTTTTTTAAACTCTTATCTACTTTTCTTAAATTGTGTGTTTTTTTAAATGAAAAGCTATAAAGATAGAGAGAGTTTTCTTGAAATATGTGCTTTTAAGTAACTTTTAAGCTAAGATTTTTTAAGTAATCATTAAATAACTTTTAACTTTTTTTTTAATTTTAACTAGCTTATAACTCAATAAAGAAAGGATTCAAAGAGACTCTAGAGTTTGGTTAAGGTGAAATTTTTTAATACTGGGGAAATATAAATACTAGAGATCTGCAGTGAAAGTGAGTTAGATAGGAAAGTTTTAAAAAAGTTGTTTGGTTGGACAAAATTTTACCAGGAAAATTGAATTAAATTTCTGAATGTGTGTTTGGTTGAAGATAAAATATTGATGGGAAAACTTAATAAAATTACAAAACTATCCTTTTAAAAAAACCTATCAGCTATGCATCCTGTTAGAATTACTGCACCATGATCTACAACATCGACAAGCCATGTAACTTCAGTCCCTTTTTTTATCTCCTCTTCTACAACCATAGTTGCAAGACCCACAATAATGATGTTATGATGAATTTCTAGGCACATAATCAACTTGAAGACCAAGATTCTTACAACCTTTTCGGAGAACTTGATTTTGGAGCCCTTCCTCCACACATTTATCTGTTACACCAATCCTTTTACACACCATGTCCATGGTAGAAAGATATTCATAGCCTGAAAAGAGTGATAGCTTGTGGTCCTCTGCCCATTCCTTAAGCACACAATTTGGTGTTCTAATAGATGCAGCCCAATTAACAGCAGAACCACCACCCACAGGCAGACTCAAGTGAATCGAAGTCAGACTGGTGTTCGAATTTGGGGTACAGCTGGGATTAACAGGGGTAAACTTGTCTTATTTTTCATCTTCACTTTCCATCAAAACAGATTTCTCAGCAATACCATGGTGGGAGAAGGCAAGTGAATATGTGATTTTCATCCATTTTTCACTTTGATCTCGATGGCTGGGTAAGGAGGAATGATGGATAAGGGAAACGATGTCCTCAACGAAACGTGGTATTTTAGGAAACTCACTTACACTTAGATGGGATTATTTTGATATGTTCCCAACCAAACACTACCTTATTGTTACGAACTGATTTATGGGTTACAACTTACAAGTATTTGTTTGTCAAAAAGAGAATGGGCCTTAGAGTTAGTGGCCCAATATGAAGACTATATCTTAGTTGGGCCTAAATCTATTCTAATCTTCTCTCCTTTTCTTTTTCTTTCTCTTTCTCTGTCTCTGTTTCTCTCTCTGTTGGAGAAACTTGTTCACTCTTCTCAGACCTACTCTCTCTCTCTCTCTCTCCGTTTTTGACATCGTGTGTGGCTGTGTGTTCCGGTGAGCTTCTTTTTCTCCTTTTTGTTTTTTCAATTTTTGGGAAAAATATTATGGTTTGGCATAGCTGATAAGCCTTTTGTTTTGGTTAGAGGTAATAATAACAAGGGAAAATGGGTATCATTGAGAAGATCAAAGAAATTGAAGCCGAGATGGCTCGGACCCAGAAAAACAAAGCCACAGGTACTCATTGTATTAACCATAGAGTTCCCAAAAAATGTTTCTTTTTTTTAATAAAATAAATAAATTGGGTGATTGTTGTTTCTCCTGATATATATTTTTGTTAAAAACTCTCTTTGGTTTTATTTAATTCATGGTCTAATTTTGAATTCAAGTTTATGTTTGATATTTTCATGATTAAAAATGGTTTTAATTTTGTTTATTATGCAGAGTATCATCTTGGGCAGCTCAAAGCGAAGATAGCAAAACTAAGGACACAATTATTGGAGCCACCAAAAGTATGCAAAAAAGATAATATTGTTTTTTTTTCTTTTGTTCTCATGGTTGTAATTACTGTTTACAATACATCATATTATGTTTTATTTACTCTAAGTTCAATATGTTGTGTTCCCTTCCGATGATTGTTGCGAGCTTATGTTTTCATGGATATGTTTGTTTACTTCGTGGACCGTTTTAGTATAAGTTTATCTGTGAGTTTGATACATCATTTTTCTTATCTTTTTGCAAAGAATGAGATGTCTGAGTGCATGAGCAAGAATTATTTCATACATTTTAGTAGTAGATGTTTGACATTTACTTTAAGTATGAGTTCTGTTTTAATATTTGTAGATTAGGAAAGGAGTGAATATTCCTCGTCCAACTTTCTGCATTGACAGTATTTTATCTTTTACGAAATTGATGCTCATACCCTGAACATTTATTGTTTTGTACTGTTGTTTGAGCTACTGAACAATTTATGCTCCTGTCACTGCTTCATTAGCATGCATATTTACAAGAGAGAACAGTCACAAATGCATGGGGAGGGCCCATTGGTGGCCTAGGGAGGAGCAATTTATTTGTCTGTAATTCTTGTGTCAATTTCTGTCTATTGATTTTGAAGGCAATCTGTAGGAAGAAGGAGAATAAAAATCCACGGTAACATTATGTTTTTGTGGGGTTACAATGTATATGGACGGAGCATGATGCCAGATTCTTTGATCAAAAACTCCTTCCCCTTAATTTCTGGGGGATACAACTGTCTTCTTGGCTTCTATGTGGGTCACAACTCATATTTTATTTTTTTTATTTTTTTGTAGATATGAGAACTCATATTTTTTTGGGGATACAACTGTCTTCTTGGCTTCTATGTGGGTCAGAACTCATATTTTATTTTTTATTTTTTTTGTGGGATTTCTCTTTTCGATTTACAAAGGGATTGGACAGCTCTTTGGAGCTAATTTGCTGTTTCTTTTGTTTCCTTCAGTTCGTTTTTTCTGTTATTGAAGCTTTCCCTTTTTTCTTTGCTATAGGAGTAGTTCTTAACATCCTCATTTTTTAATCCTCTTCTTTCTCCTATTTAGTTCTTATTCTACTATGATCCATTATAATTATTGAAGTTTAGGAATTTGGTTAGTGAATCTTTTACAATATTCTATTTGCAGTTCAACATGCCTGGGTTTCTCAATTATTTGTCAGCCACAGCTTGCTATCCTTATGTACACATTTTTATAAGGTGTGTATGTTGTTATCTAATTATGTAATAGGGTTCTAGTGGAGGTGGAGATGGATTTGAAGTTACGAAATTTGGCCATGGACGTGTTGCACTTATTGGATTTCCAAGGTCAGCCTTTTAAAATAACTATTTTACCCATTAATTTTTTTAATCAACGCATTTGATTTACTACCATTATCTAAATTGATTAAAGTTGTATTGGTCTTTATTTACTTGTATGTTTGCATGATGTGCATACACACTTTTGGGTGTCTCTGCCTATATGGTATGTGTATGCTTAAAATTTATATAGGTTAGTAAAAATGTCACCCATATGCAAGGGTAAGGCTGGAGCAGTGGTAAAATTGTTCTTTTGTGACTGAAAGGAACCTATATTTATGAAAACAGAACATTGATAGCATACAACAGAAAAAAGGTTTCTGTAATAGAAACTGAATAACCTATAACCAACTCAACAGAATCAGTTAGACTCTGTTACAGGGATGTGATGTGATAGACTGCCTGTCTGACAGTGACAACAATTACTGCATATAGTAATGCTTTGTGCAGTTATCAACATGTGCCAGTACAGTATCGCTATCTCTGACTCCTTTCCATTTTCCAGTGTGGGGAAGTCAACTCTTTTGACAATGTTAACGGGCACACATTCAGAAGCTGCATCTTATGAATTCACAACTCTGACCTGCATTCCTGGGATTATACATTATAATGATACTAAAATTCAGTTGCTTGATCTTCCTGGAATTATTGAGGGTGCTTCTGAAGGAAAGGGACGTGGGAGACAGGTTAAACTAAAATTGCTTTGTTAATCATTCCAGTTGTAGATTTTAGGGTATTTTCCCTGCACTTACAAATTGAGAATCAGCTTGTAAATAGTGCTGTTTTTATATTTCCTAATACATCAAACAGAGGTGACTATTGACTAGAATATGATGCTTGGTGCTTTTCAGTGGTTGCTTTGGAAAACATGGCTTTGGTATTATTAACAGTGCAAGAATTTTTCTTTGTGAATGTAATCTCAGGTTATTGCTGTTTCCAAGTCTTCAGATATAGTATTGATGGTTCTTGATGCCTCCAAAGTAAGTGCCATTTGACATTTTCTAATGCAGTCTTTTTCTCTTTTTGTTAGTATTGCTAGTTGATAAAATGATATGTTGGTTGTTGCAGTAAATTGCTGTTCTGACTAGGGATACTGAGTAGCTTAGATGGTTTTGACTCGTTAAACATTATAATTAAAGGCACCCTTCAAACAGGCCTAGGAACTAAACTCATTACTTTTTCATTATGTAATTGTTACACACTATCCCTTAAGTTTTTCTTTGTAAATAAAAATTCACTTGCTTAACTCTTTTATCTGATTGCATAAGGTCATTATATTAATGGATAATGTTTCTAAGTTCCTGCTCCACTTGATAAGGAATAAATGTGAATCCAACATATTTTCCTTTCCCCGTTTTCTTTTCATTCCTTTAATCACTTTTACTAAAGAACATCTTATCACACCACAATGCTTCTTGTTTGTCTGCTCACTTTTTTCTGATCCTTCTTCTGAATCCATGTTCCTTGTGGAATTGCTACACTCTGCGTTTGGAGAGATTAATTGTAGTATTTATATAATTGTGAATTGCTAAACTTTCAATTTTCTTGCCATGACCTTTTTTTAATGTGTCAGAGTGAGGGTCATAGACAAATATTGACTAAGGAGCTGGAAGCTGTGGGCTTGCGGTTAAACAAGAGACCACCTCAGGTAAGTTTATGCCCCAAAGGATATATTGGGATACATGACATGAAGCGTATATTTTATAGATAGATCTGAGTTGGATTTATATATATTTGTCATCATTTTTTCATTAATTTGGGGCTTTTCATTTCTTGGCAGATATATTTTAAAAAGAAAAAGACCGGGGGCATTTCATTCAACAGCACTTTGCCTTTGACTCATGTGGATGAGAAGCTTTGTTATCAGATTCTACATGAGTACAAAATTCACAATGCTGAGGTATATAGCAAAATGTAAAGTAATGTCAATTGTGATTCATTTCCAGGGACTTGTAATGAAGGGATATTATAATTATGGAGTTGCAGTCACTTAAATGTTAAATTTGCATTTTTATACTGCCATAGTTTGTTTAAATGTGGTGGAGCAAGTGTGATGACCTGGGACTCTTGGCTGGCTGGTGATATCAAAGGCCAACTCTAGTAAAACCATGAATCCCTCCCAAGAATGATTTTATGTCTCTGTCTTGGTCCTTCACACATTAGCCTTTTGGGCATGAAGTGTGTGCAAATACACTGGCTACTTATGTACAAATTTAGTTTAATTATAAAGAGTGGGGCAACAATGATCATACTCCTAATCAAGTTGTCATGGAGGCTTTGATACCAAATTGAATATTGACTCTCCGAAAAGTCACACTTGTTAGGTAGAGACCCAAGAGTATTTTATATCTCTTAACAATAATTGTAATATCCCCAAACATTTGTGATTATGAATTCCTTATTTGTGATTTTATTTTCTTCTGCATTTAGTTTACATATTTTTCTATCATATCTTACTCTGATGCTTTTCTGGTAACCCGTAGTTTGTCCTTTTTTGATCTGTGCAAAACTCTCTAACTTAGTGCATCTTTATTGCGGAGTTTAATCCTTGATATCACTTTTCCTTTTCATCAATGTTTTTCCAAGTAGAAGTGAAGTTCCATGTTTATGAGAACTATATTCTGAATAGTAAGTAGACTGGAATTGTTTGTGGATATGAGAAAATTGTTGACCTGCCTAGGCTAGTCTTGATATAACTGGCTATTAGCAGAGTGATGGAACCATGCCATCTTAATAAATTCTGTAATTTCCATTGCCACATTTACTATAACATAATTGAGTCTCTGTTTTCTGTCTTCTATTACCTTCCTGTATGAAGGGAGTCGGCTGACAACTTTAATTTCAGGTCCTTTTCCGTGAGGATGCCACAGTGGATGATCTCATAGATGTCATTGAAGGAAACCGTAAATACATGAAGTGTGTATATGTCTACAACAAGATAGATGTTGTTGGTATTGATGATGTGGACAGATTAGCCCGGCAACCTAATTCTGTTGTCATTAGCTGCAATTTGAAGGTTGGTTCAAATTTCCAGGGTCAGCATAAGAATATGAAATAACATAAAGATTTAGTGATTATATCTTTTAATATTCCAGAAATTGTTTCATAAAGCTATAGTTTTGTATTTTTCACCCTTTTTTATATGTTGGTAACACTTAAGTTTGCATTTTTGTAACAGCTGAACTTAGACAGACTGCTTGCGAGGATGTGGGATGAAATGGGTCTGGTTAGAGTTTACACAAAACCACAAGGCCAGCAGCCTGATTTCAGTGATCCTGTGGTTCTTTCTGCTGTATGTTGCATCATCGTTATGCTTTTTATGAACCGTTGTCCCTTAAACTATTTTGAAAACCTTTGTATTCTTTTTTTTTTTTTTAATCTTCTAATCCATCATAGAGATATCACTTTCTGTGGCAAATTGTTTTAGGATAGAGGTGGCTGCACTGTTGAAGACTTCTGCAACCATATACACAGAAGTTTGGTGAAGGAAGTGAAGTATGTTCTGGTCTGGGGTACAAGTGCAAGGCACTACCCACAACATTGTGGCCTTGGTCATCCTCTTCGTGATGAGGATGTGGTTCAGATTGTTAAGAAAAAGGTCAGGAAAGCTGTCCTTCATCTTGTACATCATTGTTCAAATTCTCTATCTTTTAGTTAATGCTGGATGAACACATGTACATATATTTGTGATGATGAGAGAGATTGAACGTGATATGTATCCTTCAGGAAAAAGAAGGGGAAGGAAGGGGTCGATTTAAGTCACATTCCACAGCTCCTGCTCGGATATCTGACAGAGAGAAGAAGGCCCCACTCAAGACATAATTTTGACATTACCAATAATTTCATTGATTTGCCTGGTGGATTGTGGATGGGAAATATGACTACATCCTGATCACATATCCAAAAGTAGAGGTCTTTTTTGTGATAGCACTTGCAATTTGAAAATTCCTTAAGTGGGGCACCTATGTTTTCGTCACCCATGTGTTGTAATTTTTTCCTCCTTTTAATAATAGCTTTTATTAATCATTAAGTCTGCATCTATGACATGGAAAGAAATAGAAAGTAAAGGAAACATGCACTGCAAAATTTACTTGGTTCATTGTTTTCCTTGCTGTATAACGTATCGTAATTTCTTCTCCTAATTTGCTTAGAACTAGCCCTTAATCTCCTGAAGTTTGCTTAAACCATATAATTTCTCAAAAAATTTAAGCCTTTCTTAGGATGTTCCCAGAATATTTCTTAGCTTTCCTCTTTTATTTGATTGGAATGGGTAGAAACGAGTCCACTCGCTCTGTTGTCTCAACATCCTTGAAAATCATAAAAAGAGCCACAAATTAAGAAGAAGAAAAGCAATGAACTTGCTATAATATGTGCAATAATAAGTTCAAATTAGCATGTAGATCATATGACACCACAGGTACAAGTTACCAAATTAAAAATTGAAAAATGACAACATGCTTGCTTCTATTCAATGTGCTTTTATAGTGGAATAGAAATAAGGAAGCAATTTTCTTTGTTTGGCCGAATACGGTATACATACCATCATTCTGATCCAACTCTTTCGTACCACTTGGTAGTATGGTGCATGAAGTTCAATTCATAAGAGCAACAAATTTGCGCACGTCAATGGAGTCGTTGGTTCAATTATTTAGAGGGATTAGAGACAAGCGAACCTATTTACATTTCTGCTATTTCAATTATTTACTTTCTCCTTTTAGCGAAATAAGATTATGGAAGACGCGGCTAACATAATTTAGGGAGTCATCAATATATTTATATAAACTTTATGGGGTCCACGGTTCACAATCATCTCATTGAAGCATCCAATATTAATAAAAGCCTCAGGGTGACCTTTTCTTTATTATATTTCTGATAAATTTCCAATTTTATTTCAGTCGCTCAATTTTCATATATTTTAATTAGGATAGGTTATTTTACCTATCTTTTTTTTTTACCTATCTTTGCCTACCACTCTAAAAGATCATTAGATTGTAATCTTAATTAACATTTATTATTCTCTCTCTTTTTTGGAGAGTTGGTAGGTAAAAATAAGCAAAAAAAAATGGTAGGTAGAATAACCTATCTCATTTTAATAACATTACTAATTATTAAGTAATCCCAAGCCTCAATGACAGTATTAGTCACACTGAGGCTTCCAATCTTTCATTAATATTTGAAGCTAGTATTAATTACTAATAACGGGATTTAGGATGCCCTTAGCCACGAATGCTTGTACTAGTCACTAATAATGGTCACATTGAGGCTCAATTAGTCATTGATGCTTATATTTGTCACTAATCATGAACATTGAGGATCCCCCTTGTAGTCATTAATCATGGATATTGAGCCTTGCTTTAACTATGGATGCTATTGCTTGCATTAGTCACTAATAACAATACCAATAAAATAAAAACTGATACGTAAATGTTAAAAAATAAATATCCAAAAAAACTTTTAAGGAACAGAACCTAAATAATTAAAATTTTATTTAAACCAAAGTGACAAAACATCTTTTTTTTTTCTTCCTCTAAAGATCTTTTTCTTTTATTGTTTTTAACTCTCTCCAAACCTCTTTTCCTTATAAAATATTAAAATGTAAATGGGGGGATCCTAGGCCCTCAGCATCCAAGAAGCCTCCAAATAACTACTTCACCAAGAGAATATCAGATCCCTCCCTGCCTCCAAAGTCAATTATCACTACTTTTCATGGTTTGGCAGAATGCCACCTTTCATTATTTTAATATATCTCTCTGTAACCATCATGTCAATGATATTATACCAACCAAAAGCCAATAAAAAGTGGTCATTTCAAAGAATTCCCATTATTTTCCATGTGATTAGACACAAACACTAGTTCCAATCGGGTGTTTGATGTCCAAGATCGAGTCCTCACCTATTGGCTATTGTCGCTTTCTTTCTTTGCACACCAAGCATCTCAAACAATTATAATGAAGAAAAATATCTCAAAAAGTCATTAATATTATTGAACATGCTCATCCTAGACATGAAGATGAGGAAAACAAATAAGCAAGTTATTTTAGAGTGATAATAGACCAGCACATAACCTCATTGGATTTCAATCCTCGCCTTAAATGTTGGTTAAAGATTACAATCATCAATAAATGATGACATTTACTAAGCAGTAAATGTTAGTTTTTGGATCTCAGGCATCTAATATTTAATACAGAACTAAAAGTAAAGAAACTAATATTAACCCACCAAATCATCAAACAGGCAGAACAACTGAATAATCTCCAGAACTTGCAATTAAATATCAATAAGATCTAAGATGTTCAAGCTTGGAAACTGGATTAAATGGTCCATGAACATGCCTTCATTTCATGGTTCTAACAGTTTTATAGGAAATCACAGTTGTACATTTCTCAAATTGATGCTACTTTAATAGATTAGATGATTAACTAAAGCTCTATGCCTTCTAGACATGAAATTAATATAGAAGACTTGGCATAAAAAAAACTTTGGAGGAGTTATACACAGTCTCACCAAACAAATTATTTCCAGCATCAGAATAAACTTCTTGATTGCAGTGCTTTATATGAAAGCTCAAATTCAATGGATTAGCTGGATCTAATTCTCTTCTGGTTGACTTTTCCATCAGACTTCAGAGTCCCACTGGAGTCCCCTTCAGATGAAGCCTCCCTGGACTTGGTAAAAGAACTTGAAAGATCAGCATAGAGATCAACCACCCTTCTGATATTGCTGTTGAGCTCTCTAATCAAACCCACATTACGATTCAGATTATCAGGCATCTTGGACTCGTGATTTTGGTTTATCTCATTGATTAGCAGCCGGTTCTGATTCAAAATATCTTGGGCTTGCAATAAGCTCTTCTGAAATACCTGTAAAAGTCTGCTATCTACTTGAGTTGTGTTACCTATATCTCCAAATATATCACCTTCCATTCCAATTACACTTATGATTCAGTTAACAAATAATCCTGCAAATAATAATAATAATAATAATAAGTAATAACAACGAATGAAAAGTTAAGACCCTGATCAATATGAAGAAGAAAAGAGGGGAAAAAAAAGTGTGAGAATTCTTACAAAATTTAAAGAAGAAAATATAAAGAGGCAACCGAGTAGGATGCTCAATCTATCTGTGATTGCAGAAGAGAAAAGCAATTCAAAAAGTTGACTCAGTTGGAACAAGAATTTTGGGAAACACAATCAACACAAAACACTTTTACCATATTCTTTCCTCTATCTCCTAAGCAACCAAGCAAAGGGTTTCAATAGACCAATCAAAAGATATCAACAGGCAGTAATACTTTTCTTTCACTGACTTAAAGCAAAGACCATTTTCCACAAGAAAGAACCTTTTCCTTTTAACGCTACCAATGAAATCAAGATAGTACAAAGCAGGACATAGTGACATACATAACACAAAAACCAACCACAGTAGTGGGAATCCGAAAAGCCAAGTCAATACCAGATAAAGTCTTCCCTTCCAATAAAATAAGATAAAACCCATATAAGTGAGGTTAAAAAAAAATCATCTTTTTATTCAAAAAATTGGTTTAATTCTGCAATTGAAATTAAACGATGAAACAGACAAACCCATCAAACCCCAGAAAACTATAACCATCGAAAATGGAGAAACAGATAAAAAAAAATGGGGGATTTTCAATAACCCATGAAAGTGATCTTACCTTGAGAAAGTGAAGCATCCGAGTTGTGGTAGCTGACGTCAAAGGGAGAGCGAAAAAATGGGAAATTTATTGGAATTAAATGGAAAAAAGAGATTTTTCTGTTTTTTGTGTGGAGAAATATAGGTAAAAAGAAAGAATGGAATATGACCCTGAAATCATGAAGAAAAAAACAAAGAGAAGAGACGAAAACACATAATATTATGATATGATAGTGAGAAAACCTCGTTTACATAACCGAGAGGGTGTAATGTTGTGTTGGGTGCACAAAACACCACTTTAGAGGGACAGACAGGTTTTCTATTACAAGTTGGAGACAGTGAACACCATTCCATACATATTATATGCTCATGCCTTGTGTTTTCTCTCATCTACAAACGGTTGGGATCCTCTCATTTGTAAGCTAGAAGTTATTTATAAGTTATAAGCTAGAAGCTAAAAAAAAGAAGTTGAAAACTGTTTAAAAATTATATAAAAATTTTAACTTAAAAATTATTTAAAAGCACATATTTTAAAAAAATTATGTCTCTCTATCTTTATCACCCTTCATTTTAAAAAAACACACAATTCAAGAAATATATATAAGAGCTTAAAAAAAAGTTGCTCCTAAAAACTTTTTGTTTTCAGTTTTTTTCTTCATTATAAAAAAAATGAGCTTTTCATTATAAGAACTTTTCTCAAAATTTGTTTGCCCTAACTTATACTTATAAATAACTTCTAGCTTAAAAAAAAAATACGAACAGCCATCTAATGTCTTGTCTTGTGTTTGTGGGGTTTCAGGCACACACTAAACCACGAAATCCTGGCCGTTAGATTGCACCCAAAAGGTTGGTTTTATCACTTTTTGGGCTTTGGGCTTATGGCTACCGTTTGGGTTTATCTTATAAAACAAGGGCTTAAATATGGTGCACTTGCTACATTCACGCTTAAATATATTTAAATGTTAACTAATTTTTTTTTACAGAACTAATTAATTATGTTTTTTTTAATTTAAAGTATTCGTATCAATTTGTTTTTTTTCTCTTTTTAAGCATTTTTTAGTTCTTTGGAATTTTTTTAGTTTTTATTACTAAGCTTTTATTAACTTGTGCTTTTACACATTAAGCAATAAAAATAATATTTATTATTTACAGGGATTTATTGTTTCTCTTGATGAATAAAAATGATAAAAATAAATTATTTATATTTATTATTTATTATTTATCAGATAAGATAAAATTATCTTATAAAATCTTTAAATGATATCATTGTGGGAAATTTTTTATAATTTTTATTTATTTTAAAGTTATATTTATCTTTATTATGAGAATTTTTTTTTTACCTACTCGAAAATGATACATGAGATAATTTAACTTTATCTCTGATGGAAGAAACAATAAAATCAATTTATATTTATCATTTAAAGAATTTTTTTGGATAATTTTAAATTTTTAAGATAGTGAATTATTATAATTTCTAATTAATTTGTTTTTATTTCTTAACATATGATCTGGAATACTCATTAATAAAATATTATTATTATTGTTATTATTTTGACTCGTAATCATATCTTTAAAAAAATAATCAAAAATAAAATAAAATTTGATAAGTTAAAAATAAAAATAAATACATTTTAAACAGCTATATTGCTAATATGTTTATAAAAAGGGGTACATTACAATATTACATAAACTTGGGTGTTTTTCAGACATATAACCTAGAATTTTTAATTAAAACAATTGACTCTCTTACACCATAATATTATAATAAATAAATTTATTGGGTAATTATAAGATAAAAACGTCCTTTCTATCAATCCACGGCAAAAAAATTAAAATAATGTTATTAAATTAAATAATTACGCATTTATTGCAGTTTTAGGAAAAATTACGGATCTATTGCACATTGTGACGCCCTTTTTGGGCGTCACATGTGACGCCTCATTGAGGCGTCTCACCCTAGGGGAAGACGTCCAAATGGGGCGTCTCTCGTGTGGCGTTGACACGTGTCACTTTTTTTTCTAAAAAAAATTAATTTAATCATAAAACTTCTAAATACCATAACTTTTGACTCGAGTATCTAAATCAGGTAATTTTTTTTTTGATTCCACATAACTTTTTGAGATCTACGCAATGACATCTCATTTGATATATTTTATTTCTCACCAATAGTTTTTCAAATTATATGTATATTTGAGTTTAAATCAAAAATCAAATCTTTATTTTGTTTTCCTTATTAATAATAATTGTTACTTTTAATTTAAATCACACATCAAATCTTGATTTTTTTTTTTTTTTTGGAGTTACTCAACCCTAATTATCTCTTTGAGACGAGTTGGCTCCCTCCGATATCCCCACGAGCTTCGACTCTTTGAGCCGGCTATGAGACTAATCCGGAGTGCGGGGGAACAGAAACAGTGATGGCTAAAGGTTCAGCCCCCTCCCCAAGAATGCATTCAGCGGGAATCGAACACATATCCAACCCCACTAACTTAGCGCCAAGTTACCAACTGAGCTGCACCCATTGGGTAAATCTTGATTTGTTTTTTGTATTAAATCACAAACGCATAACTCAGAGGCTTCTGAGTTTAAAAATGTGACACATGTCAACACGTGTCAAAACGTAACACATCACCAATCACGTCTAAATTGGGTTTCAATCAAGAGACAATCACGCCTAATTTAGGTAATTTTATTTTTGAAAAACATTCATGAGAAACAAAATATATCAAATGAGATGTCATTGCGTAGATCTCGAAAAGTTATGTGGAATCAAAAAAGAATTACCTGATTTGGATACTCGAGTCAAAAGTTATGGCCTTTAGAAGTTTTATGATTAAATTAATTTTTTTTTGGAAAAAAAAGTGACACGTGTCAACGCCACACGAGAGACGCCCCATTTGGGCGTCTTCCCCTAGGGTGAGACGCCTCAATGAGGCGTCACATGTGACGCCCAAAAAAGGCATCACAGTATGCAATAAATCCGTAATTTTTTCCAAAACTGCAATAAATATATAATTATTTAATTAAATAACATTATTTTAATTTTTTTGCCGTCAATCCACACAGCCACTGCAACCACCATTCATAGCTCTGTTGTTTGCCCACAAAATCGATACCTTCTACAGTAGGTTGGCAAATTTATGGTCCACGGATAATCATACACACAATTGAAGTAGTTTTTGTAGCTATCGTAATAATCATACATAAAATCAAGATAAAGAAAAAAAGAGAAGAAAAGTTATACACAAGGTTCACCCTGATTCACCTTGTTATAGGGCCACATTCGGTAAATTTGTCATCTTTTTCTTCTTACAGCATTGATTATAAGGCATTTAGTTATAAGAGAATACAAATAAGAGGTTATTTATGGGTCCAAGTTTAAATTATTAAATAAAATAATATAATAAAATAACTCGAGACTCACAATAATAGAGAGCTTTATTTACTAAAAGAAAAGAACTTTTTTGATGTTTCAGGAGCACCATACTTCTTTTTAAAAATAGAAAAGACAAGGGTTTGAGAGAGAATTATGAAAAGAACAAGGGATTTAAATAGATATATATATTTTTTCCATTTTGAAAAAAAGACTACCCAATTGTTGGTAATTCTGGAACACTGAAAATTTTCTCATAATAATATGGGTTTTGTAAATGTCATGTAACATGAAAATTGGTACATCATGTTACATAAACATGTTTTTGTAGGACCCACCAAATATTAGAAAAAAAATGAATAAAAAAGCTTACACCAAAAATGATCTGAGAGCATGAGGAAACAAAAATTTCCTCTAAGATGATATTTGTTTTTGCTAATAATATATGGGAGCATTTAATCTCATGTTGTAGGAGATACTCTTCTCATGTCATAGACTCAACATATGGTGGATCCCACCATGTGCTAGAAAATAAAAAATAAATAAATAAAAGACACATTTATCGATGTATCTACAACATAAGATAACTCTCTCCTATTAGAATAATTTACCATAATATATATCTCTACAAGTATAGGTATGCCCCAATAGCCCATCGGGATGACCTCCTAACCCCTTCCACTCACTGGACAACAGGACATAAATAATCATCTAGATATGTTAGCTATGAATTTTACTAATTTGAATGGATGTATTTTACACTACTTAGTTTGAAAGTCTGGTTTTTTGATATTCAAGAATTTGAAATAAAGTAAAAAAAAAATAAAAAAAAAATCAACTGTTCTCTGTGAAAGATCTTTAAATTCCATATACTATTACAGTGTTTGTTAGCATGAGATCCCAAAATTTCAATTACAGAAATTAAGTCTAACAAGATACAAATTAAAATTCTTTCATAGACAACCCACTTGTTGGGTTGCAACTTGCCTTTGCCACGGTAAATTGTTAATGCATATGAAAATTGTGTTAAACTAAAATCATTTATATTGCATAATCTATTAACGATGATAAATTGAAAGCAATCAATTCAAGTGTTTTTAAGATTGTGCAAATGTTTTAAAGATTTTCACCGAAGAATGCAGAAAAGAACATTACGTGTTGGGTGCTTTTCCTTAGCGCATACAGGAATTTTGATGCACATATAAGATAAGATTTGATAGTATAAGATCTGATAGTATAAAGTTTGATTGTATAAGATCTGATTAAATTTTAATATTATCCCGTATTTGGCATGAAATTGTATAAGATAATACATTGTATAAGATAATATCATCATGTGTTTGGTAATGCAATGTATAATACTAAATAAGATTAAAAAAATATTTTTGATAAAAATACTCTCTAATAAAAAATTTATAATTTTTCCAAATATGTCATATGATATTAATTTTTATAAAAATTCATTGATCAATGTGTCCAAAAATATATTAATTCTTATGAAAATAAAAAATCTCCAATATTTTATAAATTAATTTTTATCTTAATTATTAATATTAAAATGATATATTAATTCTTGAGAATTATACGGGTCAACGATGTTAATACATTAACCCCTTATTAGGCCTAATCTCACTCTCTTAGGCTGTATTAAGTTATAAGTTATTTTGATGTATTAAGAGGTTTTGCTGTATAAGTTTATACTATACAATAATCATACCAAACAAGTAAAAATGTCATACCATATAATATAACCTTATATATCATACCCTATACATGTTTCCAGTTTCCACTCGTTAGAGTAAGTTGGATCACAATCCCTTAGATGAAATAATGCCACATCAACATATAATAAAAGTTTGACCATCCTCTCGGAGTGTTCCACACTGCCACATCACCTGTTGTATTTTTCTTAATAATGTAACTAATAGACTTAATTAATAATGTAGCTGCAAAAATTTGAATAAATGGCGAATCTGGTTTGAACTTTGGAGTTCGAATAACTTTTGGTCAGAT